CTCGACTTGGGGCTTTCCCCTGGCTTCCTTCCCACCCGGCAGGAGCCGGCGGCGTGGCACTGCTGAGCGCTGTTCTGGGGCTGAGCCGTTAGGGATCCTGGCCTTTGTGAGATGTGAGTCTTGCCCAGGACTCACACTGGCGCCTCTGCTTTCTGGTCTGAAGGCTCCCTGGTGTCTGCACACCTAGGGTCGCCCCTGTAAAACCTGCATGCAAATGTGTCTGCTGGCAGGGGCCTTGTGAGAGGGATGAGGAGGTGGTCAGGTTGTGCCTGTGTGTGCAAATCCACGTAGCTCCTTGTCCCTCTGGCGTTTGCATTGGTGTATGTGCCTGGGAGACATGTATGCACTATGTATCTGTTGTCTGTGCCTGTGTAAGGTGCCTCTGGGAGAGGGGACTGCAGGGGGTGGCCCTGGGCCTGGGGTGGTCCAGGAGGGTATTATCTATGAACCTGAGTGATACTCACCTGGGGACCACACAGAACCCTTGGCCTAACCACCTCCTGCAATCTCCTCCACCACCAAGACCACTCCCCTCACAAATGCTGGGTGTTCCCACTGGGCCCTTCCACCTCCTCTGCTGTTGTCTTTTCCCAAAAGGCCTCTCCAAGAGTTGAGATCTCTGAGCTTTACATAAAACCTAGAGGTACCTGCCCTTGCTCCAGGCCCCCAGAACCTCCACAGCCTGTGGTTTAGCATGTCCATGCTAGAAGCATCCATAGGAGGGGTGCCCATGGTGACTCACACCTTCAGGTAAGTGGCAGAGTATGAGCTCTGTTCACTGGCCTACTGAGCTTTGGGCAGTTGCAAAGCATTGGTCATGGCCAGTGCCTATGTGCAGGCATAGGGGGAGAGTGGGACTTAAGACCCACCCCAGACTTCAGGGGGCTGCAGCAAACCTAACACACATGAAATGTAGGACACATGAGACATTAGTAAAGTGTCAGTTCATGGCCCAAGGTAGATGGCAATGGACATTCAAGAGAACACAAAGATCTGTGCACAGGTGTGGGACCAGGGAAGTCTTGCTGGAGGAGGAGGGACCTGAGCTCTTTAAAGAGTAATTGTGATAGGGACAGGCAGGGGAGCAGCAGAGGGATTCCAGGCAAAAGAAGAGTGGGAACAGAGGCTTAGAAATGGGAAAGAGTGAGGGGTTTGGAGGTTAGCAGACAAATTGGAGAGATCACCTCCCCAGATTACCAGCAGCCACCTTCATGGCCTGTGGCAAACACCCACCCATTCCCACCCGACCAGGGCCCAGTCTCTGCGTGCGTGGGTCAGGGGTAAGCCCAGGTAGAGATTTGGTAGGAAGGGGATCTCTAGTTCCCCTACTAAGCTGGTGGTAGATGAGGGGCATCCTGGACCACATGCCCTCTCTAGCCTTTCAGGGGCTTGACAGTGGGCACTTAAGTGGACAGTGACAGCCAGAAGCACAAGAAGGCCCAAGGAAATCAGACTGCAGGCAAAAGACTCCCATGCCAGAACACTCCCATTCTGAAGGGTTGAGGGTCAGGACCCCCCAGTGTAATGCTGGGTCTTCAGTATCTAACTTCAAATAAAATTTCCAACAAATTCCCCCAGGCATTGCCCCACCCGCACCTGGAAACTGACAGTGCAGCCCCAGGAGGACTATAAACTTGACCCTGGGTAGTGCCGAAGCCCCGGGGCTCTTCCTCCAGAAGGAGGAGAGAGGGGTGTGGCCTCTGGTGCATGGGAGGGGCCAGGGCTCCCAGCCTGGGGAATCTCAGGATTTGCCCCTCCTGTTTCCTGTCCCTCCTTCACCCAGCCAGCTCCCTCATCACCACCCCTTCTGGGGCTCCCTCATAGCCCCACCCCATCCCTTCTTTCTCTGAGGTCTTGAGGTATGGCCCTACCATACTCAGCGCCCCAGCTCCTCTGGGTCCCCTACCCCCACCCCCCACCCCATTCCAAAGCGGTCAGGTCCTGCTTGCCTCACTCTCCTCTCATCCGTCCACCCAGCTCCTTGCCTTCTCCCACACGTTCTCTTCCTGTTCTCATGAGCCCGATCCACCTCCCTCTTTCGGAAATACTTCCCCTATTGCCCTCACTTTCTCACATAGAGACAAAGACTCACATACCCCGAAATAGACTCGCACAGAGCTGGACGACACAGACGGTGTCCTGCCACACACGCACCCGCACGCGCGCGCACGCATTAGAGGCTCTCGTGGAGGGAGGCACACAGAGAAGGCATTTGTCTGTGCACGCACATAAACATCCACACCCACAGCCACCGAGCCGTGCCCACACAAGGGTGCAGACACACACGGCGGGTGAGACAAGGGCGCACACATCTGTGGACGCAGGGGGACACCGCCTCCCGGGGCACACCCACCACTGCCGCCCCAGTGCAGGAGAAAGGCCTCCTCCGGGCTCCGGCTCCCCCCCGGATTCCTTCCAGCGAATGTTTCCCTACTTGGCCTGCCAGGTCTCTGGGGAAAGGGCCTCAGAAATGCAGCAGGAGCCACTTGGGGGCAAAGTTGGAACTGACTGTTCCTTGCCTGGCCCTGCCGGCGAATTCCCTAACCGAGAAACTATTTGTGGCGAGAGGCCGGGTGGCCGGCGAGCCCCCCGCCGCC